TGCAATTGGTGTTTGAACATTATTTGTAATGAACTACTGTGAACAACTTTATAACAATAAAAATAAATATTTTCCCAAGATAATAGAGCTGCCAATCTATGGCACCTGTTCCTTAAGGGAATTCTCCCCCTCCCCTTTGGGGCCTCCCAAAGGAGAATTTTAAAAGAGACAACAATAAAATTTCACAAGAAATTTGACTGTATGAGGTACTATCTTTGCTTTCAAGGTCTAGAGTTCTTGGAATATCTATATTCTCTTTGTATTAGTTTCAATTTACATTTTTAAAGCCCTTTTAAAAAATATAGTATTTAGTCTTTAGTATTTAGTATCTGGAGGTCTTCGGCCCCCTGGCGCCGTGTAATCCCATCAGCGGCCAAGACTCAGAGACTATAAAATCCAGATCCCGGAACCGCGCGGCCGCATTTGCGACATCTTATCAAAACTTTTTTTTATGACATCTTATTATCTCATTCCTACTTTGGACAAACTTGCAGGCTATCGAATGTAGCCTGCCCACAGGGCAGAGTCTGGCAAACTCCCCGTGGCCTACCAAATATGCCAAATACCAGTAACAATGATGGGTCTCATTCTCCTAAAGAGCCCTGAATATAATCTTAGGGCTAGGATGAAAGAGACGTTACTGGGGCCTGCTCGAGGCAATCGACGATCAACAGGATGATGAATGAATGAATGAATGAATTTAGTATCTGAAACAGAATCTTATGAAATCTTCAGCAAAAGTTAACTTTAGAATAGAAAGTTTAACATTTTTAAACGGGACTGGACACAAACCTTGAATCTTGTGTTTTGAAAAAAGCAATTATAACACAGTAAAACATCTGAAAACACAGATTAAAAAAAAACTCTAGAGAAATTAAAATTTTGTACACATGGCATATATACACTGAACATGATATAAAAATAACACATGCTCTGTAACACTGTTCATTTCTAGTCTGTAAATTTATACTCATTTAAATAAATATATTCATACTTATTATCTGTTTTGTTGAAGAACCTCTGGATTACTAAACTTTTAAAAGATATCCATATTTTTCTTCCTAGCAGAATTCAAGTTTCTTGAGGGAAGGAAATATATTTTATCTATTTTATGTTTATTTTAGTATATCATAATCTAAGCAAATATGGGTAACCTAAGTTGTACCAAATTTTCTTTCTCTCTTAAGTTCTTGACCACTCCTGGGAGTGCTGTGGATCAAAACTAGACTTCCTGTATCCAAAGAATGCATTTAACCCATGGAGCTTTTTTCTCTAGCTCCCACACTAAATTTTGATGAAATAACTTCAAATACTTGAGAAACAAGAAAAAAGAAGAGCTGGAAATTAATGTAATATTTTCAAAGATACCTCTGCAACGGCATTTTGGAATAAGTAACATTATTTTAATAATCAGAAGGTTTGGTCTACCCGATTTTTATCTAAAGGTTTATTTTTTACTTGTTTTTCCTGATCCAACTGAAATAAAAATTTATCAACTTAAATTGATCAGGGCTGGAGAGATAGCTCAGTAGGCTGAGTGCATGCTCTGTTTGCAGGAGGTCTCGGTTTCATCCCTGGCACTGCATGGTCCACCAAGCATCACGGGAACAACCCCCAAACACAGACCCAGTAGTAGCCCTGGAGCACCACCAGGCATTGCCCAAAAACCAGCCAACAAACAAAACAATCTCCAAAAATAAAATTAGAACAATTCAAAAGATGATGTTTCTGATGTCATCTTTGTACAGTACCTTAATGATATGGGTAGTATCCATCCAAACATTTAAATAATCTGCTTCCTTAAATTTATGTGAACTAATGGTATAAACTCAGAAATACATGAAGAAGGCTGAAGAGATAGTACAAGGATCTTGCCTTGCATGTGGCTGACAGTAGTTCAATTCCTGTTCCCTGAGCACCATCAGGAGTGATCTCCAAGCACAGAGCCAGCAGCAAGCCAGAGCACAACCCTCCCATATTTAAAAAATTAAAAACAAAATAATATAGAAGATAATCCAAAAGCATTTATTTATAGGACAGAAGCAAAAGGTTTTTAGTATCTAGGGTCAGCAGGAAATGGTTCCTAATCAAATCTAAGAAAAAACAAACAGCTTTTCCGTTCTAATATGCTTTTCTTCTATACTCATGAATGTTCTTAGTCATTGAGAATAAACATCTCAAAGCAGTTTTTATGCTACCTAATCTTCATATCTACTCTGCATCCTCTTGGAGAGTCAGTTTTGCTTTTTGACTTATTTGATAGTTTATGGTCAACCCTGAAATGATGTGTTGCAGTGGTCCATCTTGGTTTGCTTTCAATTATTGTGTTGACTTTTCTAAGCCTTACACCTCTTCAGTTTAGAATCATTTATCAATATCGCCAAATAATTTGCTGGAACCTCGATTAGGATTGCAGTGAAGTTAATCAATAGATCAAGCTGGGAAGAACTGACATCTCAACATTGTTTCCCATCCATGAAATAAAAGTCTCCATCTATTTAGTTATTCGGTTTTATTCATCAGCAATTTTAAGTTTTCTTTGTATGTTTTGTATATATTATTAAACATATGCCTAACTATTTTATTTGGGGAATATATGTATATGTGTGTGTGTGTGTGTATGTGTGTAGACATCTCTTTATAGTTCCTCTATATAAATCATGCTATGTGCTATCGCTGTACCTACAGCACAAGTGGGTAGGGCGTTTGCCTTGCATGTGGCTGACCTGTGTTCCATTCCTCCACCCCTCTCGGAGAGCCTGACAAGCTCCCCATTGCATACTCGATATGCCAAACACAGTAACAACAAGTCTCACAATGGAGACGTTACTGGTGCCCGCTTGAGCAAATCGATGAACGGGAGGACAGTGCTACTTATTTGATATTTATAAAAACCATAGCCTTATTAACTTTCTAGCAAACAGGAAAACACACTTCCAGGAAATATCTTTTCTGGAATATATTTAGGTCTTGGTTAAGTACATATGGCATGTCTCTAATATTAATTTATACACAAGTATAACAAGCTTTACAAGTATATTTTTCAAGTTGGTGATTTGACAGACAGGAGAGAGGGAAAAGCGGTAAACAATAAAACATAAAGTCTAAAAGAAACAAGGGCGTTCCTCAGTTAAACATGCAGGTCAGGGAGATGATTTATTGGTAGAGCACTTACTTTGCCAGAGTTCATCGCTGGCACCAAAGAGCATAAAAAAACAAAAAAACAAAAGACTTACCAAGTTGCAAATCAATTTAGAAAAGTGGTCTATTCATTTCTAGCTACCATTATCATTTCTGGGCTGGAGCGATAGCACAGCGGTAGGGCGTTTGTCCTGCACATAGCCAACATGACCGACCCGAGTTCGATTCCTCCGCCCCTCTCAGAGAGCCCGGCAAGCTACCGAGAGTATCTCGCCCGCACAGCAAAGCCTGGCAAGCTCCCCGTGATGTATTCGATACGCCAAACACAGTAACAACAAAAGTCTCCAATGGAGACGTTACTGGGCCCGCTCGAGCAAATCGATGAACAACGGGAGGACAGTGATATATTTCTACATAACTACAATGATCAGATTTAGGTGTTTTTGTTTGCTTGTTTGTTTTTGCTTTTTGGGTCACACCCCAGTGATGCTCAGGGGTTACACCTGTCTCTGCACTCAGGAATTTTTCCTGGCGGTGCTCTGGGGACCACAGGGATGCCAGAAAGTCGATCCAAGTGGGCTAATTGCAAGGCAATCACCATATCTGCTATACTATTGCTCTGGCCCAAACTTTATTTATAAAGACTTTCTTGAAAAAAGTATATTATTAAATGTATGTATTTTTGGAACCCTTCATTAGGGAAGAAAGCAGTGTAAAAACACACAAAAAAGTAAATCTCAAATAAAAAAATCAATGTACACTACTGGCAGAAGTCAGGAAGATATTTACTCATATCAAATGCATTCAATTATAAATGTTCTATTAATAAGGGGAAATTTAGAAAGAGAAAACAGAAACAGGGGCCCTAGCTATAGTACAGAGGGTAGGGTGTTTGCCTTGCATGCATCAGTCGACCTGGGATCAATCCTTGGCATCCCAAATAGTCCCGTGCAGAGCCAGGAGTTACCTGAGCATTGTCAGGTGTGACCAAAAAAGCAAATAAAAATTAAAAAAAAAAAAGCAAAATAAATACATAAACACTGTCACTGTCCTCCTGTTGTTCATCAATTTTGCTTGAGCGGGCCCAGTAACATTGTGAGACTTGTTACTGTGTTTGGCATATTGAATACGTCACGGGGAGCTTGCCAGGCTTTGCCGTGCGGGCGAGATACTCTCGGTAGCTTGCCGGGCTCTCCGAGAGGGGCGGAGGAATCGAACCCAGCTCGGCCAGGCCGACTGCGCACAAGGCAAATGCCCTACCGTTGTGCTATCGCTCCAGACTAATCATACATATTCCTATTTTTCCCATTTATTTACTGTTTTGTTTTTTGGGTCATATGTAGCTGTGCTCAGGGAACTCTCTGGAGGTTCTGGGATTGAATTCAGAAGAGCCATGTGAGACACAATCACCTTAGCCAATGTACTATCTCTCTGGCCTCTCTTTTTCTATTTATTTATTTTTTTAAAAATTATTTTCTATTTTTCGACTTAAAAGACTCTCCTACCTCCCCACCAAATTAATTATGAAGCCATAATTAATTTGGTGAACTCTTTATTTAGTAAAGTTTTTTCTATCAGTCTCACTTATCAATCTCATGTGGGAAATTACAAATAAAAAATTTTATACTGTGTTACATCCCCTTTTGTATCCTTCAAAATTCTGAATTTTGCGGTTAAATTACACTTCAAGTGATTTTACATTTGGATCTTACCCTTTAAGTATCTGCCACTCTCCCATGCTCATCCCTCTTCCAGAAAGCAGAAGCAGAAGGTTCATTTAGTATTAATTAAAATGGCTATCAGATTAATTCTAGGAGAGTTAAAGGCTTGAGCTAGCCTAGCAAAGCCAACTGCATTACCTCTTTATCTTTCAGTCCCAGGAGTAATACTTCCTCCATGAGGGTGAGGCGGATGTCCTTGGAGTCTCCAGAGTCTTCATGATCTGGACTCCTGTCTTGATTAGTGTCCTCCTCATTTTCCACCTTCTTCTCAGAGTTTTTGCCCAATTCAGTGCGCCGGGCACGGTGAGTTAAAGTGGTCATTCTCACCTGTTACTGGTGTGTGGAGGGCAATGATGAGAAAGATCTTTGTAAGTGTTTATGAAAATAGATACATTTATACACACATACTAAAAATGCAAATAAAAAATAGTGAAACTTAGGAGAAAGTAAGAAGTAATGACCAGAAAGAAATTTTGCAGTGTTAACCACCAAAAAAATTATGTGGATAACACATTATCTTTTCTAAAGTATGTGGCTTAGACTCCACAGAAGGACAATGAACAAAAAGTAAAAACAGTTTTCTTTTAAGTCTTCTGATTTCTTGAGCCTAACCTGTAACTCAGAAGTCTAGGTTCATCATTGTAACTCCTCTTTCACAAAACGCACTACCCAAATTAAATAATATGAAACAGCAACGATCAGCATCCAAATCCTAAAATATATTTAATAATTTACATATGGGCTAGAGCGATAGCATAGAAGTTAGGGCATTTGCCTTGCATGCGGCCACCCGGGCTTAATTCCTTCGCCCCTCTCGGAGAGCCTGGCAAGCTACTGAGAGTACTCCACCTGCACAGCAAGCCTGGCAAGCTACCCGTGAAGTATTTGATATGCCAAAAACAGTAACAACAAGTCTCACAATGGAGACATTACTGGTCGATGAACAACGGGACGACCCTGCTACAATTTACATATAATTTCTATATACTTCCAGTAGTGCGTAAGGAAACACAAAGTAGAAAAAATTAAAAAAAAAGTAAATAGAAGCACATATTCTAACATTCCCTTCCAATATCCTAGCAACTCATTTTATGCACTTACTTTGGAGATCTGTCTAGAGACTCATGCTTAGAATACCATGGGCAATATCCATACAGCCAGAAAAATTTCACCTCTCTCCTTAGCTAACTACCTTGCTAACACACCCACAGCTGCTGAGAAAAAGTGCCGGAAAGAGAATGTTAAAAAATTAGCAACTTTTGGAGCCGGAGTGATAGTTCAGCAGGTAGGGCGTGGACTTGCAGGCAGTGACCAGGGTATCCCATATGGACCCCTGAGCATCACTAGGAGTGATCCCTGAGCACAGAACCAGGATCAAGTCTGAGCTTTTTTTTGCAGGGGGTCTGGTCCCCCTGGAAAAAAAAAACCTAGCATTTTTTTCTCAACTTCAAAAAAATTAAAGCACATAACCTTTTATACCATGCCTTAAAGTTCTTTTAAAAATCTACTCAAGAAATACATTTACAGTTAGCATATTTTTAAAAAATGTACATGCCAGTTTTTAAGGATAAATACCTATTTTTAATCTGTAATTACTTAAAAGAACATACTTTCAAGATGAAAATAATTCAATAACCTCTGTGACCGGATTCTCTTCTACCTTCTAGCAGTATTTCACATTACTACCGACTATGCCCTGTTATCAAATCGCTTCTCAAACGTATCCCATGCCTTCCGCCTCTGCCCTTTTGCACATGCTGGAGTTCTTTTTCCCTTCCTTCCTAAATTCTCCCGGTTGTCTAAGCTGTTGAAGACCCCCTGCAAAGCCTCAAGTCAAGTCTCCTTTCCCATTACCTGTGTGTTCCACGGCCAGAACTGGTCTCTCCCTGGGCTATACTTTCACAGAACTTTATAGATACTTACTTCCTTTTAAAGTACTTATTATAGTCTTTCTTTGGGTCTGGCTGTCTCTCAACTGTAAATTTCTTGAGGGCAGGAGTACTGTCTTCTTGAGTTTTTATATTCTCCATAGCAACTAGCACAATGTCTTTAGCGTTGCAACTGCTCAACAAATATATACTGATTAAAACGAATACTCGTCAACGAATAGGAACATTCAAAACAGAAGTACAAATGGACTGACTTTCAAAAGATTCTTTGCGCGAGGCTGTATTTCGAACCCGACTTTTTGGTGGGAGGTGGACGGAGAGTGGAGGAGAAAGAGAACCACGAACTAAAGGCTTAGGGACACTAACCTAGCTGGCCCTGCGGAAAGGCTTTGCCTCCTAGCCCAATCCAAGGAAATGCAAATCTACAAAGGGAGTGTTTTCTCCGAGGAATTCAGCCCCGCTGGGCACTGACTGGTTAAAAATCCTACTTAAGAACAAATGACCAGGCAAATCTATAAGCCGAGACCCTCCCTTTCCCACAAAATAAAAATCTAGAAACTGGATACATATGACAGACAGGTAACACACGCGCAGATACACTGTGTCTTCCCCTTCCTTACCCGACGTTCCTCCGGGACTGCGGGGAGGCGCAGGCCGCGGCTCGCACGCTCCTCTGGGGAGGGGCCTTCCCTTCTTCATCCCCCTCCACCCCTGCCCGAGGAGGAGGGAAAACTTCCCAGCCAGGCAGAGACAAACTTCCCGACCCTTCCTCCGAGGCCGGGGAGCAACCCAGCGGCTTCCTCGGGATCGCTAGGCAACCTACCTTGGCGTTTCTCCCCTGGGCCAATCAGACGCCGCCGAGGTGGAGATCAGCCAATCGGAGCCCACGAGAGGCGGCCCGCCCCCCGGCCCCGCCCCCATCCCCCGCCCATTGTGCTGCGGTCCAGACAAACGTCGCCCGGAGGAGCCCGGGCCGGGCGCCCCGCCCCCTCGCGCTGGCCAATCGGGGCGCTCGGCTGAGCTGGCGCCAGCGGCGGCGCCCCCGAGATTTCCGCTCGTCCGTCTCCGCAGGCAGCAGGTGTCGCGGCCGCGGTGCGACCTAGGGGCCGGCGCGGCGCCGGTACTGGGGGTCCAAAAGCTCGCGATGCATCTTCGTTTTGGGGGCCAGCGAAACGAACTCGAAGGTCCTTGCCTCGCACGCGGCCCATCTAAGTTCGAGCCCCTCCAGGGAGGGTCCCGGGGCACAGAGCCAGGGGCAAGCCCTGAGCACAGCCGCTCGAGGCCCCAGGACGAAAGGAAAACGTCGTGTTTCCAGGCTGAGCTCTCTACACTGCTGAGTTTTATGGGTCGTTCCTGTCCCGGAAACCCTGTCTGAGTGTGGGGAGGGTCGGTTTACAGTAAAAATGATTCTTCCAGACACTTCTTCCACAGCCTACATTGCAACATTCTTCGGCTGCGACTGTTACTGGCAAACCCATGGATGTTTTTAGAACCCGGCTGCTAAAACCCCCAGAGGCGGGCAAACCAAGATTTTAATCTTCCTTCAAGGAAACGACAAGGCTGGAGTCAGTCCCAGCTTTCTTATCGAAAGCACGGCTCCAATCAAAATTTCTAGGAAGTGGGCTCAGTTGATAGGAGCAACGTAATCTGTATCTACAGATGTAATCTGAAAAGTATTGCCTAAAATATTATTCAAATTAAATAAAATTAAAAGCCATGAGTTAAGATGCTGAACAATATTTTATTCAATGCTGCCAAAACTGCCACTTAAAAAAAGTCATTGTGGTTGTTCAGTGGTAAAAATATAAAAAAAAATGCAAAGTACCAATTTTAATTGTACATTATATATTATCATGTAAATGTATCAAAATATTGGCATAGTTTCAATAACACACTGACAGTTAAATGTTAGTTTTAACATAAGTGAAAAGTGAATTCCTGATATTTAATACCAAAAACACATTATTTCAAAAAATGGCTCCAGTGGGCCTTAAAAGTTAATATATTTTAAAGAAAATGTTCATCAAAATGGAAGATATATCAGTATTGATTAACAGAATTAAAAACTGGTACACTAGTATGTATTCAGAAGCTTTCCTGGATTTGTCACAGATGAGATTAAAGATAACAATACCACAGCTAAGATTCCTATTTAAGACTACAAAAAATTTTATAAGTCAGGGCAAACAAACCTTAAACAGCAATATAGAGTCCTTTAGTTTAAATGTTGATAACTTTGTAAACAGGTGAAAGAAAAATTTCATATAAGTTCCTTTGGTTCGCTAAACTTTCTTCTTTTGGGCACAGATTCTTGACTAGCAGGATCATAGTGATGAAGGACCTGTCAAAACAAAACTATTACTAAGAATAGATGCTCTCCAGTTTAAATGTCTTTATTCTACATTTTTCATGTTTTCTTTCTTTTTAAAAGTTATACCCAGCACAATTATTTCCTACTAGGACAGGATATCTAGGTTCCTTGAAAGTAAATTTTATTATTGCTGCATTTACATCATCTGACAGCTGCTGAAAGTATATACTTGTAAAGTATAGGTATTCATTAGGTTTGCTAGAGTAATTATAAAGATAGATTTAACATTACATCCTCAACATAGTAAAATTTCTTAGGGGGATTAGAGGGGTGTGTTCTTAATGAATGGTAAAATAGAGAAAATGACTGTATTTTAGCATTCTGTGAGATTTAACTCATGTTTTGTCTATGAGGAATGTGTCTTTGTCTATGAGACTAATGCATGTCTCCAATGGTCCTCAGAGAAGCCTGATAGTAGATATTTGATAGACACTTTTGAGTAAATAGGAGGAGAATTAGGAAAATTTCTAATAAAATTATCTGAGTTATTGAACTTTCACTTTTCTGAAAAAATGCACAAAAAATTATAAAGAGATTTTTCAGGGGAAAAAACAAAGCTCAATACATTGTGAAAAATAAAAGAACCTAATGTTATGAAATGTCTGGTTGTTCCATTCCCTGCTCAAGACATGTAACTGAAATGTAACTGAAAATAGTATTAACAAACTATTCTTGGGAATATCCGTTTAGAACTTATTTTTTAAAAATATCAAAGTGATAATATAGAAGTAAGGTGCTTGCCTTGCACGTGGCAAACTCGGGTTCATTCCTGAGCATCCCATATGGTCCCCTGAGCACCACCAGGAGTAATTCATGAGTGCAGAGTCATGAGTAATCTCCAGGCCTCACTGGGGTTGGTGGTGTTCAAAATTCAAATAAAATAAAAATAGTCTAAGTTTATAGTTGTCCAATTTTAACTTACTAAAAGTTCTAGACAAAAAAAGTAAGTTTTTCCACTCAGAATTGAAAAACACATGATCTGATTTGGTAAAATAATTAAAAATATAAACAGAATTTAAAGTAAAGTAAAAAAGTAAAGGCCCTCCCGTTGATCATCGATTTGCTCGAGCGGGCCCAGTAACGTCTCCATTGGAGACTTTGTTGTTACTGTGTCTGGCATATTGAATACTCTCGGTAGCTTGCTGGGCTCTCCGAGAGGGGCGGAGGAATCGAACTCGGGTCGTCCATGTTGGCTGCATGCAAGGCGAACGCCCTACCCGCTGTGCTATCGCTAGTTCAGGCAAAATTTGTTTTTTAAAGTATAAGGAGGATATGGTTTCATTTTGGGGGAATACTTAAACTTGATATCTTAAATTCTTAACATTTTTCTTTAGAAAGTCCAGATCAAATTTGTGGCCTTATTTTTAGCTCTCTGTAAAAAAAAGGGTCCTAATTGGGTGTTTTGGGTTTTTTTTTTGGTTTTGGGGTCATGCCCTGCAAGCTCAGTGGTCACTCGTGGCTCTGCACTCAGCTATTACTCCTGGCAGTGCTTGGGGAACTGCATGGGGTGCTGGGGATCAAACTTGGGTTGGCAGCCTGCAGGGCAAAGCCTTCCCTGCTGTACTATTGTTCCGTCCCGGTCCTATTATTCTTATACTCATTTTCTTACTACATTCTTTTTTTTCTTTCTTTTTGGGTCATACCCGGTGCTTGTTCAGGGGTTATTCCTGGCTCTGCACTCAGGAATTACTGCTGGCAGTGCTTGGGGGACCACATGGGATGATGGGGAATAAACCATGGTTGGTCGTATTGAAGGCCAACGCCCTACCTGCTGTACTATTGCTCCAGCCCCTCCATTCACTTTTTTTTACCCTTGACATATTTTCATTCATTTCACCATATATTTAGAAAAAAGAACAAGCCAACACGGCACACCTTAATTAAAAATCATTCTATTTTTAGAAACAAAACATTTGCATATCAGAGTAGAGATTTATCGATTTATAATTTAATTTACAGTAGTGGTATTCTGATATTTGCCATTTTTATCCAAACTGTGTGTTATTTATAAAACTTACAGATTTTCCAGATTCGCGAATACGTTTCTTCCGATTCTCTTTAGATTTTACTGGTTGATTTCCATTAACCTCAACAAAGAAAGAGTAATTGCTGGTAAGACATTTTTCAAACAGCAACCAACACTCACTTTTTCCAATCAGAGGCAATCATATGACGTTTTATATTTTGAAAGTTTTATCAAAAATATTTTATCAAGACATAACTCAGATACAATCTAACCACTTAACAGTGTACAACTCACAGTTTTCACTGGAGGATAGTTCACTATTGGAAGCTTGCCACAATTGGTGTGGCAGGAGGGCAGTCAGGATAGAGAAGGGACCACTATGACAATGATAACTGAAAATGATCACTCTGGACAAGAACTGGGTGCTGAAAGCAGGTAAAGGGACAAACATGGTCACCTTTCAGTACCTATACTGCAAACCATACTGCCCAAAACAGGGAGAGGAGGGGATTGGAGGAGGATGGAGGGGGAGGGAGGTAGGGAGGGAGGGGGAAGAGGAGAGAGGAGAAGGGGAAAGAGAGAGGGGAAGAGTGGGAGTGAGGAGAGCCAGGGTGGGGAGAGAGAAAGAGACAAATGGCAGGCTGGGCGCGGGCTGGGGGGTGGGAGGGTGGGAAACTGGGGACACTGGTGATAGGAGATGTACACTGGTGAAGGGAAGAGAGTTGGAACACTGTATGACTGAAGTTCAACCAGGATCACCTTTGTAACTATTTCAGGGTGAGTCAATAAAATTTTTTTTTTAAGTGCGATTCAATGCTTTAAACGTCTATTCTGGGGCTGGAGCAATAAATAGCACAGCAGGTTGGGCGTTTGCCTTGCATGCGTCCGACCCGGGGTTCGATTCCCAGCATCCCATATGGTCCCCCAAGCACTGCCAGGAGTAATTCCTGAGTGCAGAGCCAGGAGTAACCCCTGAGCTATGCTGGGTGTGACCCAAAAAGGAAAAAAAAAGTATATTCAGAGTTGTGTAACTATCACAGAGTTTTGTAACTATCACCACAGGCAATTTTAGAATACTTTTCATCATGACAAATTAAGTTTGTACCCTCAAGTTTTCATCCCCTTAACCCCTCACCATTCCTTTATCCTGCTGCCAGCCCTAAGTCTTTCCCTCTATAGAATATCCTTTTTGAGACTTTCATATGGATGAAATCATATGATGTTTGGACTTTAATGAGAGGTTACTTTCATTTAGTAAAATGTTTGCAAAGACGTTCATCCACGTTGTTCCTTTATATAATTGCGTAATACTCTGCTGTATGGATATGTCAAATTTTGTTTACTGACTGATGATTTTCATCTCTTGGTTTTAGTAATGTGCTATATGGCAAATACTGCTAAAAAATCTATTCTAAATTTCCCCCTTCTC